CCAGTGCCTTCCTCATCCTCACACTCCATGTCATCGTCATCCTCACGCTCTATGCCTTCCTCATCCTTGTATCCTGTGACATCCTCATCCTCGCAGTCCGTGCCTTCCTCATCCTTGTATCCTGCTAACATCCTCATCCTTGCACCCTGTGCCTTCCTCATGCTTGCACCCCTTGCCTTCCTTATCTTTGCAGTCAGTACCATCCTCATCCTCACATTCTGTGCCTTCCTCATCCTTGCATCCTGCTGGCATCCTCATCCTCCCATCCCAATGGCATCCATGGAAAATTCCCCATCTGATGGTGGCAGAGAGCTGCCCCCTCCCCAAAATCCCCACCGGGGACCCCTCCATCCTGCAGGGGATCCCAGTGTCCCCATGGGAGCTGTGGCCATCACTGTCATCTGTCTCAGGGGGCTGAGACCTGGCAAACTCACTGCTCCCGAGTTGGCTGAGCCSTTTGCGGAGGGGAGCAGAGCTCCTTTTTTCCCCCGGCTTCTGGAAAAGCACGGAGTCATTTCCAGCTTCTGGGAAAGCACGGAGCTGGGCCCACCCGGCAAGCAGGAAAAGCTCCTTCCTGCGGCACCAACGAGCTGGGCCGGCTCCGTAAAAGCCTATGGAAAAGCAGGAGCGGTGGGAAGGTGCCACCCGGACACCTCCGCTGTCCTGCTCGCGGTGGGGAGACCAAGGCCGGGGCCACCCTGCCAGCAGAGCCGAGTGGCTCCGGCTCCGGTTTTCCATCCCGCTTCCCACACGAGGAGCTGAGTGTTTAGACAGAGCCCAGCGGAGATGGATGGATGGGGCGGATTAGGCAGCTGGGAGCGATAACGGAGGCGAAGGGGAGGCGGGACCTGGATCACGGCAATACGGGAGAGCAGAGCAGAGCCCTGGAGAACATGGGGATCCCTGGAGCRCCGGCAGCACTGGAGGCTTTTGCGGAATCTCCGGGGCAATCAGGGCATCTGCACRCTTGGAGCCTCTGGAGCACCTTCTGCTCAGGGCTTTTGGGGTGTCTCCAAACCCAGGAGCTCTTTGGAGCATCCTGGCAGACAAGGACTTTGGAGTAGCTCCATCTTCCAGAGAGTTTCACACCCAGGGCCATGGGAGCAGCTCCAAAATCAGGGCTCTTGGAGCATCTCTATATCCAGGGCCTGGGGGGCTTCTCCCCACCTAGACCCCTTGGAGCAGCTTCAAAACCAGGGCCCTTGGAGCACCCCCTGTTCCCAAAGCCCTTGTAACGTGTGCCTACCAAAGGCCTTTGGAGCATCTCCAAACCCAGGGCCAAGGAAGCATCTCCACAGCCAAGGCCTTTGGGGCAGCTCCATTCCTAGGAATTCTGGAGCATCTCTGCATCCAGGGCCCTTGAAGCATCTCCTAACCTGGGGCCACTAGAGCACCCCGAGCCATTGGGGTATCAGAGCAACAAAAGCCTTGGAGTGTCTCTGCATCCTGGACCATCGGAGCATCTCCATCCCCATGGGCTGCCGGAGCAGGAGGTCTGTGCGGGGAGGTCGGCGTCCCGCGGGAGCGAATTCCAGAGCAYGGGGAGCCCGCAGGGAGCCAGCGCCGACCCATGTAGGGCTTTGTGCGCCGGGGCAGCCTCCTGACGCGCCCAGCAGCCGCAGGAAACCAGGCGGCTCTGTGCRCTCCGTGTCATGTACTTCCTAATCCGCCCGGATTCCGCCGTCGGAGCGCAGGGGAGCTGGCCGGGAGCTCCGCAGCCCCGCCGCGGCGCCGGCTCTCACCTGCCTTCCCTCTCCTTGCAGGATATGAGGAAGCACGTCATCATGACGCTGCTGGACACGGAGCAGTCCTACGTGGAGTCCTTGCGCACCTTGATGCAGGTAAGACGGCRCCGGACACGCTGGGGACGTTCTCCGTTCTGGGACAAGGGGCACACCGCCATGGTGTGGTCCTCCTGCAAGGTGGCACCAACTAAACCCCTTTGGGCGCGTTGAAGTTGGAACCCTGGTGCTGCCATGGGTGCTAATGGGGTGGCACCRTTGAGCAGGAGTGGGGAAGGTCTCCTTGTCCTCCCAAATCAACCCCATAACAGTTCCCAGCAGGATTTTTTCCAAGTGCTCCCACTCGGAGCAGGCTGCGCTCTCCCCCTAGCAGATTCCCAGGTTTTTCCCTAGCAAGTTCTTCCTTGCCCCTTGCTCTATCTCCTGGATTGCTGTCGAAGGCCATATCTGGGAACTTGGAGACCTGTTCCTCCTCATGGTACCCTCATCCTCTCTTCCCCATTTTCTGCTCAGCTTCAACATGTGCTAGTGGGCACCAGCCATGGGTTGAGCGCTTTTTAGCTTTTTCTACCAAGCTAAGTCCAAAAATCCTTTGGAGCGGCCAGGCTGGAAGGACCTCTCATGTTCAGAAGGTTAATGAAGATGAAGGTCCTGGGGCAGTAGGTCCTTTCTGGGCAATGTGTGGTTCATGTAGATGTGGGTTATCAGACCCTGTCTCTGCAGGTGCAAGTGCCAAAAGGGCAACAGATGAATTTGGCTGAAGGTCACCATGGAGGGGAACACATGTTGAATGTCACTGTGGTCTCCTCACCTATGCAATTGGATCCCAATGGGATCTGCTCTGTTCAGAACCAAAGCAGGCCCCATAAGACATCCAGTGCGCTGGTGAACCACCAAGGCATGGTACATCCTCATCTTCCTCGGACATCCAGAGAGGCTTTTCCCCAGCGTGGCTGTTTCTGCAGTGGACCCAAAGGTATAACAAGGACTTTGCCAGATGTTGCTGCAGGAGGGAAAGATCTCTGCTCTTGGTACAGCTATTCACTCAGGAGGACAAGAGGACCCTGAGTCTAGTCTGTATTTTGGGAGAAAGCCTGCAAATCCACACTGGACCTTGCTGGAGTAGCACGTTTAGGAGGAATCACCCCRTTTCAGAGCAGGTGGGATGTGTGGAACAGACTTGGCCTTGCTGTCCAGGGAAGKAACAGCACCCTTCTCCTGCTGGAGCCACAGGGCAGGCAAAGCGGATTAGGATCAGAATCCTTGGATGAAATTTGCTCCTSCTAGTGGGCAATGTTCGTGGTCAGGGTGCCCACGTGGACACCCGGTAAATGCAGATGATGACGCTTTGGTTGTGATTCTGCCAGTTGTCTGCAGGCCTCTGCTTTGAGATGAGGCAAATCATGCTCTCCCAGTCCGTCTGTATTGGCTGCCACCCAGGTTCCTCACAGCATCCTGAAGGACACCATGAGCAGGTACCAATCCATGCATTAAGGTTCAAGAGATTCTCACAGAAAACATCATCTCTATCCATCACACAACTGGATGAAGCCTCTGACTCTAGAAGACCCTCCAACTCATGGCTGGGAGGTGGTGATGGTCATGGGAAGCATCAGCCTGTTTTGGTTCCGGTGGCATTGTACCCATGACTGGCTGGTTTCCCAAGCTGGAGCTTGATCATATTCTTCTGGAAACGGCATCTCAGATGAGCGTTCTGGCCTACTAGCTTGGGTCTCACATGGTCACAGGGTGTAATCAACCAAAAACATCTGCTCTTGGGACCACTGGAGAGATGAGTCCAAAGGACGGAAGACACCATGCTCAGGGGCTCCTTGTGTGACCATCGCCTAGGGTCCCATGCAACACGTCCATGCCGGGATGCAACGTGTCCATGCTGGGATCTCACCTCTTGCCCAAGCCCATATGGTGCCTATGGGCACCCCAGCACCAGTGTGCCTTGGAACTTGGGGTGGATGGGAGACACCAGGCTGGGATAAGGTGATGTGAGGTGACCCTGAGGTGACTCGGGGAACACAGGCCCTAGTTCACCCAGGGAACTGCCTGCTGCTGGATTCTGCAGACCTCAGAATTTACCAAGGTTGGAAATTTCATAGGGGAAAAAACAAGGGCTGTTGTGGCTGTGATTGGATCCCTTTTTCTTCCCCATCACAGGGTTACATGAAGCCCTTGAAGCAGCCCGAGAACTCGCTGCTCTGTGACCCCTCGTTGGTGGACGAGATCTTCGACCAGATCCCGGAGCTGCTGGAGCACCACGAGCAGTTCCTGGAGCAGATCAACGACTGTGTGCAGAACTGGCACGAGAAGCAGAAAGTGGGCGACCTCCTCGTGCAGTCGGTAGGAGCAGCTGACCCCGGGCCCATCCTTGCCCCCTCCCATGTCCCCATCCCATCAGAGTGCACCAGGAGCACGAGAGGTGATTGGGAACCAAGAGCCACATTGGACCAGGTCATCCCTGATCCCCTTATGGTCAGGGAGTTATTCCAAGCTCTGGGATTTGGTGGGGACAAGAGGGACTTAAAGCTTTCCCAAACCAAGCAATTGGGAGCTTTCCAGCTCTGTCTCCCTGTCCGGAGTGGCCARTGTCCCTTCAAAGCCTCGTGTCCCTCTGGGACCAGATACTCGCTCTGTACGAGTGCACACAGCCCCAGCAGGGAAGATCTCTGAGCAAGAGCAGGGAGATGATTAAAGGATGGGAGGGAAAAAAAAAAGGTCTGAGACGGAGAGCTCGAGACGATCTCCAGGCCTTCGGTCTGCTTAGCTTAACCTCGAGCTGCTGCAGCGAGCGGCTGGCTCTGCAGCCTCGCGTTTCTGCACCGGGAGCAGAAATGTCAGGGCTGAGGAATCTCAGCGCGCGCCGGGAGAGGCGGATGCCCGCGCGGGAGGAGCGTTAACCCTTGGGAGCTCCTCGCCCRCCTCTCACTGCCTGCGCCCCGCAGTTCTCCAAGGACGTCCTGGTGAACATCTACTCCGCCTACATCGATAACTTCCTCAATGCCAAGGATGCCGTGAGGATCGCCAAGGAAGCCCGGCCGGCCTTCATGAAGTTCCTGGAGGTAGGTCCTTGGATGTGTTCCAGCTGTTTGGAAGTTGAACGTTTGGGATGACCCGGAGTCATTGAAAGTCCTGGACGTGGACAGGAATTGCTGTATCTACTGGGTCCCTGTCCCATCCCTCCTAAGGGGCCCGTCATTCTCTCTTGCCGATGTCTCACAGCAAAGCATGAGGGAGAACAAGGAGAAACAGGCCCTGTCCGACCTGATGATCAAGCCCGTGCAGAGGATCCCGCGCTACGAGCTGCTGGTGAAGGTAGGCAGAGGAATGGCCATGGATGAGACCTGTCCAGCTCAGCTCATCCATGAGGCTCATCCATGCAGCYGTGGCTGGCCACATGAACCGGGTTGCAAGAGGAGATGCGTTGGGCCATCTTCTGCTGGCCACTCACCCTGGGTTTCCCTCTTCTGAGGAAACCATTGGAGTCCATCCAAGGGATGGGAGACCATCTGGAGTCTCCCTTCCCTTGGGAAGGCCCCCAGAGAACCATCCCAGCACCTGCAGTGCATCTGTGAGATGCATCAATGCCCGAGATCCAGCCCTATGCTCCCCTGTGCCTCAGTTTCCCTGTGCTTGGGGAGGAGGCATGGCTGAAGTCGGTGAGGTGCAGGGACAAGTGTACTGTAAGCTCCAAGATTTGCCTTGTTTTGTGGCAAAACTGGGACTGGTTTCCCTCTAAATTGGGAATTTGGGAGTTTTTTCCAAAATGCAACAGAGAAAAATGCATCAGCATCTCAAGTACTGGTCCTGAATTAGGGCCTGCTGGGATGGCACTCAACTCTCATCCCCATGACAGGACCTGTTGAAGCACACGCCAGAGGACCACCCCGACCACCCCTTCCTCATTGATGCCCAACGCAACATCAAGCAGGTGGCCGAGAGGATAAACAAGGGCATGAAGAGCGCCGAGGAGGTGGAGAGGAACGCCCGGATCGTGCAGGAGATCGAGTCRCACATCGAAGGCATGGAGGATGTACGTGGGCTGTGGCAAGGGCTTGTAACGAGGAGGCCGACGAGCCTCTGAGCAAGGTCGTGTGCCTCTCACAAGCATCCTTGTCCTCACAGCTCCAGGCCCCGCTCCGGAGGTTCCTGCGGCAGGAGATGGTGGTGGAAGTGGTAAGAGCTGATGGACCAGCACCTTGGGGTTGCTCCTCACCCCTTGTCCCCTGGCTGCTTTGTGGCAGGGAGAGCTGGCAGCGGGGAATGGGGGGCTGTGATTGCAGCCCATGAGGTCCCCATGGGAAGAAAGGCTGGTGGCTGGTGACTGGAGGGATGACGGTGGAAGATGGGTGATGGYAGAAGATGGATGGTGGATGATGGATGGATGCGTGACTGGGCAGATAAATGGGCAAGGTGACCCACGTGACCACAGAGCTGGCACTGAGGATGAGCAGTGATTTATCACCGCCTTCTCCATCCTTCCTGTGCCCAAAGGGCTTCATCCCCATCCCACCTTGATGAGTCCTAACACGGCCCATGATCTCCAGCTGCTCCAGCACTGGGGAAACTGAGGCAGGAGATGTAGCCACTAACTGCCCTCCTTTCTCACCGTTGCTCTGCAGAAGGCGGTGGGCGGCAAGAAGGACCGCTCCTTCTTTCTCTTCTCGGACCTCCTGGTGTGCACCACGCTGAAGCGCAAGTCGGGCTCCCTGCGCCGCAGCTCCATGAGCCTGTGAGTGTCACCGGCCAAGTGGCCACCCCTTTGGGCTGTCCCAGCACATCCTTCACTCCCAGAGAGCCAACAGGGATCAAAGCTCATCGTGAGCCGTGGATGGCCCATTGGTGCTCAATGGATCCTTAACCGCAGGTACACGGCGGCCAGCGTGATAGACACGGCCAGCAAGTACAAGCTGCTCTGGAAGCTGCCCCTGGAGGACGTGGACATCATCAAAGGTCTGTGGCCATCCTGAGACCCCTGCGCTCACTACCCTGCTTGGGCAGCGGGGTAGCAGGAGCATCCTTGAGGACCTCATCTCACCGTATAGGTGCCTCGCAAGCCACCAATCGTGAGAGCGTCCAGAAGAGCATCTGCCGCCTGGATGAGGACCTCAGCACGCTGGGCCAAGTGAGCAAGCTCTCGGAGAGCCTCAGCTTCCCGCACCAGGTGAGAACTTTGGGGCTGGGCATCTTCTCCAGCACATCCCAGGGGGTGATGTGGACCCCATCCGTTCATACAGCTTCTTTGGGAGCCCTCTGTGCCCTAGCTCTCCTCTCTGACCAGGTTGGACAAGATGGTGTCCATGCATTTTATCCAGGACCAGGGAGCAAAAGACCCTTATATCTTAAGTGTGACCACTCCCTGCTTCTTTGGGAGGACTTTTCCAACTGAGGAAACCCACTTCCTTTAAGTACTTCGGGACTGGGATTTGGTTACTGCCATAGGGAGATGCCAGCTGCCCTCAGAGGTCCGCTGTCCCGGGGACTCTCGGTGGGATGGAGAAGGCAGCAGGGTTGGTCAACCTCTCCGCTGGCCCCATCTCGGGACAAAAGGGTTTAGATGATCCCATCTGCTTGGAAAACCCTGAACAAGATGGGTTTTCATCTGGGCACGGGCTGTTGGTCATCACTGTCTTTGGAGGACCCTAGTGCCACCAACTTTGAAGTCAGAGAGGGTTTGGGGCAGAATCCCAAAAGGATTCTTGGGGTCACCTCCAGAGATATCCATGGAAAGGGACATGAGCAACACCATGAGGGTGGACTCATGGASCCAGCTCTCTTACACCTTGGTATGTCCCCCTATGCAGAGCCTGGATGACGTCATCAAGGACCTGATGGCTGCCATCCACCGGGAGCTGGCTGAGAAGCAGTCGCTGTCCTTCAGCATGTCCTTCCCRCCCAACAAAGTTGAGCTCACCACCACCAAGGCCGACGGCACCGAGTCCTTCGTCTTTGAGTTCCCCAACCCCGATGCCCGGCAAAGCTTCGAGCAGGCCTTCGAGGACGCCAAGAAGAAGTTGGGTAAGGACCAAAGCCCGCTCTCCTGGGCATCGAATGGGGCAGCCGTTTGCACTGAGGAGCCCGCAGGTGCCTCTTCTCCAAAGCCTCCTCCACACCCCGTCCTCAGCTCTTGTTTTCTCCTCGCAGCATCCAGCAAGAACTGCCTGGACCCCGAGTTCCTCAAGGCCATCCCCATCATGAAGACGCGGAGCGGGATGCAGGTACTGGGCCACCAATGCCCATGTCTTGTGCATGAGGAGCATCTCCAGGGCACACAGCCCTTCCTCAATCCTTATGAGCCCTTCCCGTGGCTCGTGACGAGGTGGGAAGCAGCACGGAGAAGGCTCTGCCATTGACGCCCACTCCTTTTGCTCCAGTTCTCCTGCGCATCGCCGAGTGCGGGCAGCCCAGAGAGCGCGTGCGAGGTGTGGGTGTGCAACAGCGACGGCTACGTGGGGCAGGTGTGCCTGCTGAGCATCCGCAAGGAGCCCACCGTGGAGGCCTGCATCGCCGTCTGCTCCGCCAGGATCCTCTGCATCGCCTCCGTGCCCGGCCTCCAGCAGCCCTACAGGTAGGCGCCCGTGTTGGCGCTGCTCCTCCGGGCCTGGTGGTGAAGGTCCCGTTGGGGTGGCATGGAGACGGCCGCCGGTTTTTGCCCCGTGGTGTTTTGCTCCTGGCAGGGAGCGTCCGGAGGCGCCCGCGAGCCCGGCGGTGGCGCCGGCGGGAGCGGCGCCGGAGGCGGCGGCGCCGCAGCCCGAGGACGCCGGGCCGCAGCAGTGCCTGCACATCTCCATCTCGGGCTCCTCGCTGGAGCTCTCCGAGCCCGTGGACAGCGGCAACCGGGAGCTGATGCCCTTCGACAGCGACGACACGGACGACGAGTCCTCGCCGAGCCCCTCGGGCACCCTGCAGAGCCAGGCCAGCCACTCCACCATCTCCTCCAGCTTCGGAAGTGAGTGTGCCCACAGAATCACAGAATGGTTGAGGTTGGAAGGAAACTCTGGAGATCATCTAGTCCAACCTGCCTGCTCCAGCAGGGACACCCAGAGCAGGGACACCCAGAGCACCCAGGTGGGTTTTGGAGACCTCCAGAGAGGGAGACTCCACAACCTCCATGGGCAGCCTGTGCCAGGGCTCTGTCACCCTCACAGTAAAGAAGTTCCTCCTCATAAGGAGATGGAGCTGCCTGTGTTGCAACTTACACCCATTGCCCCTTGTCCTATCCCTGGCCACCACTGAGAAGAGCTTGACCCCTTGCTCTCTACATTCCCCTTTCATGTACTTTGGGTGCTCAGGGCACCCAAAGGCTTCACTGAGAGGGAAGGAGCCCACACGAGGATCTGGGTGGCAGCTCCGTGTCCCTGTGTCCTCCTCGGGTGGCCATGTGGGCTCCCTTGGAGCTCAGCGTCCCACCTCAGCCAGCAAAGAGGAGGCCAAGAGCGTCCTTGGGGCTGGAGGAGACTGTGGAAACATGGGATTTGGGGCGGATGTTGGTGCTGCGGGTGCAGAGCCCCCTTGGTGCCCTCTCTCCTCTTCTCCTTCCCCTCTCCCGCCAGACGAGGAGCTGCCGAGCTGCAAGGAGGCTGCGGCAGAGGGCACGAGCTCGGAGGAGGAGCAGGAACCGGCGTTCCTGGCGCTGGCGGGTCCCTTCGGCGCCAGCGGCGGCCCCGGCGAGAGCCCCGTGGACGGCCGCGCCATGCGGCGCTCCAGCCGCGGCTCCTTCACGCGGGGCAGCCTGGAGGAGCTGCTGAGCCTCGACCCCGAGGCCCACCAGAGCTCCATGTGGCTGGGCACCGAGGACGGCWGGTGCGGCGGGCGCCGGGGAGGGACGCGGGGGACACCGGCGAGGGTGGCGGCGGCGGCAGGGCGCTCATCTCGTCTCTCGCATCCCCAGCATCCACGTGTACCAGTCCTCGGACAACATCCGCAACAGGAAGAACAGCATGAAGATGCAGCACGCCGCCGCCGTCATGTGCATCCTGTAAGCGCGGCGGGTGTTGCAGCTCCGGGTGTTGCAGCTCCGGGTGTTGCGGCTCCGGGTGTTGCAGCTCCGGGYGTTGCAGCTCTGGGTGTCACCATGAGCCCTGGAGGAGCTGGAGCAGCTCCAAGCATCACGACACCCAGTGCCAACGCTCTTCTCGCCGCAGGTACCTGGATAACCAGGTCTTCGTGTCGTTGGCCAACGGGGAGCTCATCGCCTACCAGCGGGAGGCAGGTGAGGCCCCGAGCGGTTAGGGGTGCGTGAGAGGTGTCTGTCCTGCAAGGGGTGTCCCTCCTGCAGTGGGTCTCCCTTCTGTGATGGGTGTCCTTGCACTGGGTGTCCTCCTTCAATGGGTGCCTCTTCTAGAATGGGTGTCCTCCTGCAGTGGGTCTCCCTTCTGTGATGGGCGTCCTCCCTCTTGCACTGGCTGTCCTCCTTCAATGGGTGCCTGTTCTTGCATGGGTGTCCTCCTGCAGTGGGTGACCATCTGCAAAGGGGTGTCCCTCTTGCTTTGGGTGTCACCCTGCAGTGGGGGCCTGTTTTACAATGGGTGTCTGTCCTGCAGTTGGTGTCTGTCCTGCTGTGGGTGTCCCCCCTGCACTGGGTGTCCCTCCTGCACTAGGTGCTCATCCTGTAACGGGTGTCTGCCCTGCAGTGGGTGTCCTCCTGCACTGGGTGTCTCTCCTTCGCTGGGTGTCCCTCCTTCCCTGGACGTCCCTGCTGCAGTGGGTGTCCCTCCTGCAGTGGATGCGTGTCCCGGCATGGGTGCCCTGGGTGCCACCCACTTTCCTGGGCACATGGGACAGCAGTGTGGGATGGGGCAGGGGGCYGCTGCACACGAGGGGCTGCAGAGGAGGGTCTGGGCACGGGGACGCACCCATGGGTGTCCTGTCGCTYGCAGGCCGCTTCTGGGACCCGCAGCACTCCAAGGCGCTGGCGCTGGGCTCCCCGGGGAGCCCCGTCACCAAGATGGTCGCGGTGGCCGGCAAGCTGTGGTGCGGCTGCCAGAACCGCGTCATCGTCCTCAACACGGCCACCCTGGCGCAAGAGGTAGCGCGCGGCGGGGCGGC